TAAGTGGTGTACATCCTGATGTCCGTATGTATCTTTGTGAGAAAGAAGTGACCACTCTTGATAGAGCAGCTACTCTTGTTGAAAATTATCATCTAATTCATAATATTTGAAAGAAAAGTCCAGTCCCAGCCAAGCCAGTCTCGTCTGTTTTTCAAGTTCAGGATGATAAGCAATTGTAAGGGAGTCATGGCATTTCTGCAAGCAACTGCCAATCCGTGATTAGTTCTGGAGCAACATTTAGTAGCTTACATGACTATAATAGTAAGACTTATTTCAGTGAGTCTGTAATGTGTTACTACTGTAAGAAGCCTGGCCATCTGATTGTAGGGTGTCATAAGAGACCGCACAACCAGTAGAATAGAGGTAGTGAACAAGCAAATATTGATTTAGCTTGTGCCCAGGTGGATACTGTTAACCCGTCGAATTCTCTTGGAGAACCAGGGTGTAGGGACCCCCAGTTGTCATTCCAGCCGTTTAGGTTCAGTGGCTTTTTGTCAGTGCCAGAAGATAGTACAACGGTACCTGTTGAGATTCAGGAGCTTCTCACAGTATGGTTGTTAAAGGTTCTGTACCTTTTTTGGAAGAAACTTTGACTGGCGAGAGTGTTATTCTGCAAGGAATTGGCGGATTCATCACTATTCCGTTGTGCCGACTATTTCTGAAACCTGATTTTGTTTCCAGCCAATGACTGTGGGGGTGCAGGATTCCTTGCCTGTGGATGGCGTTTCATTCTTGTTGGGGAATGATATAGCTGGTAAACTTATTGTGCCTGATCCCGTTGTTACATTCAAACCGTTGAGTAATAGTCCAACTGCTGATGTAGAGGCAGTGTACCCTGATCTTTACCCATCCTGTGCAGTGACTCGTAGTCATATTTCAAAGGCTAGAGGAGAGTTGTCAACTATTGTGGAATATGACGTAAATTCTGAGATAGATCTTGAACTTGCTGACTTATTTTCTGAAGAGCTTAAGAGTGTGGGCACAGCCATTCTGATAGTATTGCTGTACCCGTTGATCAGTAGACGCAATGGAGCTTAGTAATCTTCCTGTCACACGTGATATGTTAATTGATGCGCAGAAGGCTGATCCTGAGCTAATTTCTCTGTATATCAGAGCTGTTGGAGAGTAAAGAGAGCCCCGTGTACGATTACGGTATATCAAATCCGGCGTACTCATGTGTAAGTTTCGACCACCAGAAGTTCCATCCAGTGACACTTGGAGAGAAGTTCATCAGATCTTGGTGCCATCCTTCTACAGAGGTAATGTTTTAAGTTTGGCTCATGACTTGGTAGGAGGACACCTTGAAGTTAAAAAGACTTGACAAGATCCTTAGATACTTTAATTAGCTGATGTAGCACAATATTGTCGGTCTTGTATTAATTGCCAAATGGCAGGTAAGCCAAATCAAATAATCAAACCTGCAGCACTAAAGCCAATTCCTGTGGTGGGTGAACCTTTCTCCAAAGTAATCATAGACTGTGTTGGTTCCCTCCCTAAGACAAAAAATGGGAATCAGTTTCTCGTTACTATTATGTGTCACTACTAGGTATCGGTAATTCCCTTGCGTCGTATTACTTCCAAATCAATAATACCTGCATTGGTTAGCTTTTTTACCCAGTTCGGTCTTCCCAGTGTTGTCCAGTCTGATCAAGGAACAAATTTCTACTTCTGGGATATTTCAACAAGTAATGACCACTCTAGGTATCACTCAATATTTAGCATCTGCATACCATCCTGAAAGTCAAGGTGCTCTCGAGCGCTTTCACCAAACGCTCAAGAGCATGCTTTCAAAATTCTGTTTGGAGACCACAAATGATTGGGATGATGGAATACCCTATGTTTCATACGCTATTAGGAGGACAAAACAAGCAATTTTAGGATATTCTCCTTATGAATTATTATTTGGTAGAGATATAAGAGGTCCTTTGAAACTATTACAAAAAGTTGGCTTGATGTAGATGACTCTGTGACCCTTAGTGATTATGTATTAAAGATGAAAAGTAGGTTATGAAAGGCACAAGAGCTAGCAAAAATTAATTTGTTCGAGGCTCAGAAGGAAATAAAAAAAAAAAGATATGATAAAGACACTGTGGATAGACAGTTCCAGCCAGGAGATAAAGTGTTCCCACTCCAAGCTAGGTACAGTCTCGTTCAAGATTCTTCGAACACCTCTGGAGACAGCTGGCAACTCAAGACCGTTTGTTTACTATAGTACGTAGTATAATATAATACGAAACAACAAAGCCCAACCATTAATTAAGCAACGGGGGACTAAGTAACCAACCATCGATCAAATTTTACATTCATTCATAATTTTTACTACACACTATAGTAAACAAACGGCCTTGTGTTGCCAGCCGTCTCCAGCAGTGTTCGAAGAATCTTGAACGAGACTGTACCAAGGGCCCTTTCGCCTTCTTAGTAAAGAAGGTGATTTAAATTGTGTAATAACTACTCCTGGAAGGAGAAAGGAAAGAGATTGGCGCATGTAAATTTGTTGAAAGAGTATCACTCCAGGAAAGGTTAGATAGTAAATTTGGCGGTGCCAAGGAAACAGAATGAGGTAATGTGTGTGCGACTGGTGAAGATTTTATAATGGGAGTTAAGGAAATCAAATTAAAGAACTCTGATATATTAAGTGATCTATGTACTAATACCTCTCATTTACCACAGAAACATCTGGTTGGTATCCAGTGTCTCCTGCAAGAGTTTGAAGTTATATTTGCATATGTGCCTCAGCCCAGTCCAATAGTCATTCATGGTGTAGAGCTGATAGAAGACGCACGTCCGGTGAAGCAGGCTCCTTATCGTGTTTATCCCAGCAAACTGAAGATCCTGAGGGAGAAATCCAGTTCTGTTACAACATGGTTTGGCAGAGCTGAGCAACAGTGAGTGGGCCTCGCCGTGTGTACTCGTACCCAAGCCAGATGGGAGTTCACGCCTGTGCACTGACTACAAGCAAGTTAACGCACTCACACGGGCCGACTCCTTCCCTCTACCCGGAATCAACGACATTATTTATGCTGTTGGTGATGACAGTCATGTCACCAAGCTTGACCTTTTAAAAGGGTACTACCAAGTGCGTCTTTCAGAAAATGACAAGAAGGCCTCTGCTTATGTCACTCCAGAAGACTTGTATCAATATACTGTTATGCCTTTTGGTATGCAAAAATGCCCCAGCTAATTTCCAGAGGCTGGTGTCTGCCATTAAATATAAATAATGGAAGCCCCTCGAAATCGAGGATGGCCGGCCCAAGGGCCTCCTTGGCGTGAATTTGTTTAAGGTGTAGAAGCTGTCACCAACACAACAACCACACCTTAAGTTAACGAGCTACATAACCCATTGTCAAGGAATAGTCCGAGGAGACCGAACAACTCGCCCACTGCACTGGCTAACCATTACCCAGGAATACGATCCGCAAATCGATTAACATACAGGTTCCCAATTACTGCTGGGGAGACAGAGGCAAATGGCGTAAAGAAACTTGCCCATAGTTTCACCCTGCCCGGGGGTCGAACTCGGGTCCCCTCTCTTGCGAGGCGAGAATGCTGACCATTCCACCACAAGTCGCCCAGGTCCGCCGTTGCCACTGGCTTGGAGGGAGTGCGTGCTTATCTGGATGAATAGGTGATCTACTCGTCGTCGTGGAGTGAGCATCTGTCTTCATTACAGGCTCTGTTTCAACGTTTGTCTGATGCCAAAGTGACTGTAAACCTGGTTAAAAGTGATTTTGGGCACGCCCGAATAATCTTCCTTGGACATGAAGTAGTCGGAGGAAAAGTAAATCCCGTCATGGCCAAAGTGGAGGCCATTAATAACCTTCCTGTTCCCACAAATCGCAGGGCAGTGCAACGTTTCTTGGGCATGGCAGGCTATTACCGACGTTTCTGCCCGAACTTTTCTCAAGTAGCCGCCCTTTGACTGATCTTGTCAGCCCAAAGAAAAACTTTGTGTGGTCTACTGCGTGTCAGACTGCCTTTGACAAGATCCGTTCCCTACTGGTATCAGCACCGGTTCTTCGTGCTCCGAATTTTCAGTGTCCTTTCATTTTACAAGTTGATGCCAGTGATGTTGGGGCTGGTGCAATATTAGTACAGGCAGATGATAGTGAAGTTTTACATCCAATATGCTATATGTCTGCAAAGATTAAATAAACCTCATCAACGCAATTACCTTAATATAGAGAAAGAAGCTGTAGCTCTGCTTATGACATTGGAAAAGATTAACTTATACCTTGGCAGCACCAATCAGAAAATTGTAGTTTACAGTGACCATAATTCATTCCAGTTCGTGACTCGTATGAAAAATAAGAATCAGAACTTAATAGATGGTGTTTAACTCTGCAGCCATATAATATTGAGATCAGACATATTAAAGGAAAAGAGAATCATAGCAGATGCTCCATCTCGTGTAGCAAACTGAAAATAGAACAAGTGTTTTATCTTGAAGGGGGAAGTGCTTTGTAGCACCGCATATATTTTGATTTAGAGGTAATTACCTCTGAACAGTTAATTACCCTGCTTGTTCAATAAGTAGGGTTATATTCTAGATAACTTTGTTCATGGGCACTGGTCACCAACTCGGCCGTTGGAGACCGGAGCAGAAGCAGACATGTCTGGCTGGTGTGAGGTTGTAGTTCAGTTGGTCTGAACTCAGGATATTATTGTAGAGATATGTGGTGTATACTTTGTGTACTGTCCAAGTGCATGTTAATGCTGATGTTAGGGCTTAGGTTGATTTAGGCTGTGGGTCTCAATATGTCATTGTTTTCCATTACATGTCCCTTGTGTGTGTGTATATATATATATACATATATATATATATATATATATATATATATATATATATATATATATATATATATATATATATATATATATATATATATATATATTGGTATATATATTGGTATATGGTTACTTTCATGATGTTCAAATTTAAATTATATTATTTTCTTTGTATTTGTTGTACTTTAATAATGAAATAATTTTATCGACAGTGTGGTGGTGGTGATCATGACAGGAGAGTTTGAATCAAGGTTCTCACAGTACTTCCGTGATGACCTTCCTCCCCCACTACCCAGGGTCCTCAAGGGTGTCCTCCCCAGTAAGTAGTGTATCGTCCTTCTGATACGACACTTGGTAATTGAATCTCATATGTATATTCTCTTTAATTGTATTTTGGTCTTTTGGAGAATCTGTGTGTCTTTTGTGTATGATCAGTTTTCCTACTGTTATTTATGTATTGAAAACGTGTACTGGAGTACCTAAGTTTGGTGATGACAGAGGCAGGAAGTGTTACATTTACCCTTACTTTCATTGGGTTCACGAATAAAATACTTACTTACCATGAAACATTTTCACAAACTAATCAATCTCAAATATGGGTGAAACTAACCCAATGAGTAAAATATCTTTTCAGAATTAAGTTAAATTTAGAGCATTCTAGAAACAAAAATAATAACTATATAGAAGGTTTGCTCAATATGAAAATTTACCCATCAACGCAACATAAAGCTATTAAGCCTAAAATTAAATCAATTACATTATACACTACTTAACCTAATGGAATAGAAATACTGCAATATAAGTGAAAACAGTTCACACAGTATAAATAACAATACACACATCACTATGGAAGAGGAGGTGAGACCCACAGCCGGCAACCATACTGTCTTCAAACTTTTACTGGGTGGTTAACCGAACACCAAACCTTGAATGAATGAGCGAAGCATTAAAAACTAAAGCTTTCATTCGTCCAATATTGTCAGTACGATGGCCCAGTGTGGTGATGCTTGGCAGTCCTCTTCACACGTTTTTCCACTAGATGTCTAATTGACTGTGGCAATTACATCCCTGGCAACGCAACAGCTTAGGTTATTTGTCGCCGGAATAAAACAAAGGCCAAGAACACTAAAGTCATATAATGCAAGGTAAAAAAAATTAAAAATAAACTTTCATTAAAAAAAGACATTTAAACGTTATTAGATAAAACTCAAAGCTTGTGTAAAAAGCCATCTTACTCCATGGAGAGGACTATCCCTCCTATGCTACCCAATCACTCCTCCCCCAGCACCAGAGAGAGAAGGTAAGACCTGTCTTCCGCCCGGCACTGGGGTAGGGGCTTATTACGAAGATCTCCGAGACTACTAGATGGCAAAATTGACTAGAAAACATTGTGGATAGTTAGTTCACATAGAAAGATGAATACATGTTTTCAGTAAATAAATATCACTGGGAAAATTTATCATACACAAAAGATACACATAAAATTACAGGATTCTGTAAAACAACAAAATACAAATAAAATATACAAATGAAATTCAATTCCTGTATTAAGTGTTGTAACACCTTGTACCTAAAAGATAGCATATGAGGGAAACGAAAATGTTTTTAGGGAATCCAGAAGCATCTCAGGTGCCTACTTGGGATAAAGTATCTGCAACCAAATTTTCTTTCCCCTTTAGTTGCTAAATTACTAAACTGTATGGCTGAAGTGAAAAGGCCCATCTCGTCAATCTTTGATTTTTGTTTGTCATTCTATTCACAAATTGAAGGAGATTGTGGTCACTAAATGTCACTGATTGGCTCAAGTATGATGTATATACTGTACTGTACATTGAATTTTTCCAGTGCCAGGATAAATGCAAGTGCTTCTTTTTCTATGGCGCTGTAGAAGAACAGCTCCTGCTCCCATGTAACTGACGTCCACTTGGATGTTGAAAGGTTTACTGAAGTCAGAAGATTGTATTACTGGGGTAGAAGACCGGAGACTGCGGATGCAATCGAAGGCAGCCTGATTGTCAGGTGACCAATGGAGAGGCTTCTTGGGACTAACCAGGTCTGTTAGGCTAGCGGCAATGCCGAAAAATTAGGACACAATTATCTGTAAAAACCTGTCATGACCTCATGACTGCCTTTTGATTAGTTGGGAAGGGAAAACTTTGTATTGCTTTCACTTCAGCTGCTACCAGGGAAACTTGTCCCTGTCCAATCACATGCCCCAAGTAAGTGAACCTTGCGTGGCTTAACTTTTCTCTCATTAGATTTACTGTCAGTCTTGCCGTGACCAGTTTACAGAAAAGTGTTCGCAGTCTGGAAATGTGTTAGTCCTAAGTGTCATTATGTACTACTAAATCATCCAGATATGCATCAAGTACTTCCAGCCCTGTAGTGAAGCGCTGAGAGGTGGCAAGGGCATTTTTCCTACCAAATAATGTAACATTATATTGCTAAAGCCTATTTGGGGTTACGAAGGCTGAAATTTCTTTAGCTCTTTCACTTAAGGGAATTTGATAAGAGCCCTTTAACAAATCCAACTTGGTTACATACTTCGAACTTCCAAATTGTTTATTATTTACTTGGTAAAGGGAAGCAACCAGTTTTGATAATGCCATTTGCCTTGAGAAAATCGGTATACAACCGTAAACTATCATCAGGTTTCAGTACCAATATACACGGGGAGTCCCACTCATTCTTACTGGGTTCCACTAAACCACTCTGCAACAGGAACCGCACCTTCTTTTGAAGACACGTACGTTTTCTTGAGTTAACTCGGTAGGGTGTTTGTTTAATGGGTTGAGCGTCGTTTGTCAGCACCACGCCGTGTTCCACCAGTGTACAGAGATGCTGTACGTTATCGAAGAGCTGCAAGAACTCCTCAAGTAAACGACATACATACTTCATTTGTTGCGGGAGGTGGGATAGCTTAGTGGTTATGTCACATAATTTTTTTTAGTTTGTCCAGGACACTCCAGTGTCAAGGGAGAAATCCTGAAGCTCTCTTACATCTGATGTGGCATCAGGCAGGACTAATGTGCATACAGGATTACCATCTCTTGTGTATTGTGGCTTAACGGGTTAACATGAACTAATCTCTCCTTCTTTTTCCTTCCTGGAGTTTGTCACATAGTTCACCTCACTTGCCTTCTTCACACAGTAGGGACCACAAAACTTAACCTTATGAGGACTCTTGGGAAAATCCTAGCGACTCATTACAGCTACTTCTGACAACACATAGGGAATACCTTCATCCCAATCACCATCCTGCTCAGTACACTATTTTGTTAACATACATTTCAGAGTTTGGTGAAAACGTTTTAGTGCTCCCTGAGATGCTGGGTGGTATGCCGTAACCACATACTGTTTGATCCCTAACTGTTGCATTACTTGCTGAAACAATCCTGATGAAAATTTACTACCTTGATCTGATTGCACATCTTTAAGAATTCCATTTGAGTAAAAACTTTACCAAAGATGTAATCACAACTTTTACAGTTATCCGTCTAAGAGGTATGGTATCTGGATAACGGGTAGCAACACATGATAGTTAGCAAGTACTGATTTCCACTCCTGGTCCTAGGTAAGGATCCAACACAGTCAGTAATCACTTTATTAAATGGTCGTTAACAGCGGGAATTGGTTTTAATGGTGTTGGTTAATGATCTTATTTAACAAGTGTGACATGTCCTGCAATAACTTGCAACAACTTTATGCAGACCTGGCCAGAAGAAGTTCTTTATTATTTTATGGTAGATCTTCTCCACCCCCAAATGACCATCTAATTAACCACGTGCCAGATTTAAGATGTTGTGTCTGTAGCAAGCTGGTATCACTCTCTGTTGGATCTCGTCCCAATCTTCATCTACAGGAGCATCATCCGATCTGAATCTACACACAAGTACCCCAGATTTTAGATAATAACAAACAGGACTTACATTAGATTCAAACTCATCAACTGGTCTAGAGAACATACTAAGTTTGGGTCACCCTGATGTGCCTGAGTTAATGTATCCCTTGGAACAAGAACTTTTCCAGCCTCGTATGTCTCTGAATCCTTTCTGTGCTCTTCATTATTGTTATCACTACCTGATACTATTTGGAAATCTGAATTCTCAGCGAAAACATTGCCAAGACAAAAATCATCTACATTATCTTCAGTCTGGTATGAACTTACAGGGCTATCACTCTGAACTGTGGCAGACATACTACGAGTTATAGCGCTTGAAGGAAATAGCCCTGGGAACTCGTTCACTAACTCGGCAGTATTATTTTTACTAGGAGTCTGTTACAATCAGGTCTGGGACAATTCTACTGCCAGTAATGTCATTCCCCATCAAAAAAGTTACTCCTTCTAGAGGCAGAGAATGTCTCACGCCGATAGTGACATGCAGTATTGGGAAATCACTTTAGTTCTCAATTATAAACTACAGGGCAGAACAGCAACATTGTCACAAAACCCCTGAAGGATCATACTCTCGCCACTGTAGGTCTCCTCCAAAAATGGTAGGGAGGCCTTAACAATAACACTAAGAGGCACCAGTATCCCTCAAAATACCAACGGGGCAAGTTACACTCAAACTGTCACTAACACAGGCCCATCAAACAAGAAAGGTTCAGATGAAGCTACACTTTCAGGTTGTACAGTATAATAGTTTCTATTCGAGTTTATCAGGGCAGACATTGTTTATACATTTGCCCCTACTCTTCATTCCTCTTAGATTTTAATATTTATACTGGTTTATATACTTATCACTTTTGATTAGTTTTAAAGACCTGTTCCACACATTTCTATGTACTGTTTGGCCTTCAGGGGGTAATTCCAGAGATGACATTCCTCCTTCAAATATTTTCATAAGTCGCTCTAAGTTTGTAGTTCCCAGACTATGTGTTCAGATTTTTTAATGACATTTCACCGACTTGTTTATGCTAACCTATGTTAATCTTCCAGGGCGGAGGCAGAAGCATGGTGCACTGGAACCACCGCCAGAGAGGAAGCTTGCCTCCGACATCCTTCCCATTCTGACGGGACCTGCCATGTCTGACAGGACGTCATCCAGTGACCCTGCTAGATCTGGCAAGTTATTCCAAGGCCTGCCCAATTTTCTCACCTGTGCAACTTCTGCAGTGGAAGTGTCAGCTGTTACTTTTGAGAAAGTTGTCCTGGAAGACCAGCAGGAAAGACTGCCACCGAATATTAAAGGACAGAGGAAGGGAGAGAGTAGCTCCTGGCTGGTTGCAACAGGTAGACATTATCAAGATACCAACGGCTTTGAGGATCCTTGTGGGGAACCTGATGGGCAAGAGACTCATGTTCAGACATGCAAAGAAAACCAGCCAAGAACAACACACAAGGAGAAACTGAAGGCCAAAAAGGGACCGAAACAAAGAACCACTCGAGAAAAGTCTCTCCCTGATAATGTATCGAGGGTGACCATCACTGATACAGGTTATCTGCAGGCGTCTTGTGTTAGTGAAGGAATCATAGGGATGCAAGACTCGGAAGCAAAGCAGGAACATGTATATGAAGAAATTAAAAATTATATTGATAATGAAACTAACAATCAAATTTATCAGCAGATTAAAGCAAAGAAACAAACAAGTGGAACACTACCAAAGAGCTTAACTGGAAGTTCATATGAAAATAATTTCGTTTTTGTCAATAGCATTCAAGACAACATTAAAGTTCAATCAGAAGGAAAGGACACACAGCTAACTGAGAAAACACTACCACCAAAAAAAACACCTCAAAGGAGGGATGCGATTTGCCAACAGCATGAGGCTGAGGACGGTTGTAGAGAAAATTCTTACAAAAATCCTGAAGTTAAAACTGGAAGCTCAAATCCTATACACCCCCTTGACATTGTAAGTGAAGGTGATTCTGTCTGGTCCACACCATTGTGTAACTGCTATAACAAGAACCCTGACAACACTGTAAACTATTATTCTGGGGAGGTATTCGAGGGTTCACTCAAGCAGCAAGCCTGCAGCTTCTCACCTCCCAGAAATCAGAGAGGACGTTCCAGCCGAACCGATGAGGACCGTGGAAAGAAGAACAAACGTTCAGTCAATGCATCGAAGACGACTGGTAAGGACAACAGTGAATTACAGTCAAGTGTCATCTCGAAAAAGTATAGAAAAAAGATCTTTACCTCAAAAATTAAACCTTCATTTATATTGTCAATCAAAACTCCTTTAGGAAGTCTGAAGGTATCTGGAGGGAAATGTTCCTGCACATCTCAACAACGTATCTCGACTGAACGCCAGCATAATTGTCGAGATGACAGGCGATCTCATTCCATGTCTCCTGTTGTCATGCGCCAGCGGCTTTCTTCTCCCAGTGGAAAACCTCGTCAGAGACGATCACTTTCCCCTACACCACAAACACGACCAATCTTGCATTCATTTTTACCCACACATCACAAAGATGGTCTGAGAGACGAGGAAACATCGGACCAGCAACACACGTTGCAGCCTAAGGATGTCTCCTCCCATGGCACTTGCTCCGACCTCGTCTTAGATCGTGAGCCTTGTTCGGTGGATCGCCAAAATATGCCAAGATACAGGAAATGAATGAAGATGTCTGACCAGCAGTGTTTCAGGCCGTTAGTTTCAACTGTAGCAGCATCCTTGCCAACATCACCCGAGAGTGGTCCACAGACTGGCATCCCTCACCAGGATGGTATGAGAGTTCCTCCTCCAGGGATGTTGTTGATGATGTTACGTTTGTGTCAGAGTTCCTGGAGTCCTCTCGACCTCTTCACCATCAGCTGGGTCATGAGGTAAATAAGAAATTGAGTGATCAACCGATAACTGTAACCATAGACTAGTGTGTTTGTTTATTTAATTGTTATACTGTACTCGGTGTCCCTAGATTCTTAACTATTTTGAATGTGAATAAAAGAAAAACTAACATACAAGATGTGTTTGTACCATCTTGTAGCCCAACTGTAATAGTTTGTCATCCTCGTCTATAGTTTTAAGTAGTATATTATTCCAGAGGTGGGACACACTCCATTAGACTTGTTTCCTTGGTGTATCTGGGACATCATGTATCACACATCTGCAACAAATATCGTGAAACAATGGACCAAGACAATGGACTCTTATCACCAATGTGACGGTGGACTTAGGTTGATCATCTGTGAGAGCCACTAATGGTGCACATGTGGTAGTCTGCTGACCGGTCATTGAAATCTGTTCTGAGTTGCACTGCAACCATTTTTAAAGTAGCAGGTCGCCAAA